GCTTGCTCGTAGGTAAGCGGCTAGAGCGACGGAATCTGAGTCAGAGGTCCCGGGTTCGATACCCGCTTTAAGCATCCCAATGTTAAGCAGTAGTGACATCGGTTTTCACTTGGAAATATATATAGCAATTTGTTTCTTTACGCGGCATTGCTGTTTCAATAAAAAAAGCCAACACGATCACAATTATTGTAACAATAAAATCATAACATGCATATAGGACAATCGTTTGGGTTGCCATTTGTAAAACCCGCGTTGTATTAAGTCACATCAGCAAAACAGTTCATAAGTTCATACTGCTGCTCAAAACAATAAAAAAATGTAATCAATATTTACTCGTAACATATAACAAGTTTTAACGCTGGAGTTGAAGAGACATTAAAAAAACTTTTTTATTCTAAAAACTACAACATATAAATAATTTATTAATGACAACAAATCAATGTCCCATTAATCTAATATTTTTATTTATTTCTTAAATTAATTTAAAACAACTTAATGCCATTGTCAGAGTATATGATTTGAATACATAAATATAAATTGAAGCCGCTGCCGATAGCTAATCTGTATTGTACAGGTGTATCGATTTTTTTAATGACTTTCCACGGCAGAGGCTACAAGTTTCACTATCGAGCACATTATATAATGGCAATAAAAATGTTTAAAATAATTAGATTATACCAACAAACATCACAGATTTGTAATACATCGATAATTCGATTCATCATTATTAACAATAATGTAAATCAATATTAGTGTAATTTTATGAACATTCGTTATAATTTGATTTATGGAGGGTGTTCTATGGTGTAAAGGTTAAGCGCACTGCCGTTTGTGGACATAATCGTGACTCCGATCTAGGCAACCTGATATCATGCAGTAGTGATATCAATTTTCACTTGAAAACAGAGATCACAAATATGTTTCTAATCTCGGGCCCTGTGGTATGAAAGGGCAATTGGAAATCTCTCACACGATTCTTCCATGATTCTAGTTAGAGTTTATTTAACTCATATATTTAACTCATTTATAAATATTTCTCATATAGGAGACATTATATTTTTATTAAAAGAATTGTTAAATTCAATTTCATAATTCTGACTTGCAATTATCTATTAAATATTTTATATTATTTACATATATTATATTTCATAACATATTAAAAGTTCAAGGTAGACCGAAGCGATTACAAGTAACCCCCGTATAACATGTAGATACGTTCCAAAAAAATACCGTGTTATGCGAATCCGTGTTATACGAGAAAAAGAACCAGTATAAAGAGCGGAGTTACAATCCAAGAATTAAAAAAAGCATGCTACATAATATAATTTTATAATATACATTACTAGCAAACCCGACGAACTCCGTTTCGCCACCAGATGGTTTCGTGGGATATATGATGACATTTTTTGTTTGTTTTATATTATATTTGAAAAAAAAAATTTGATTTTATTATACAACAGTAATTAATTTATTTCGATTACAAAAATAAAGTGTTTTTTAGTTGAACTTGTCTAAGTAAATGAAAGTGAATCCGCAAATTATCCGTTTCATTAAAGTGCTCTTTGGTAAACCACATTTTTTGTTTTTTGGTCTGACGTTAACACAAACAAAGCGGATGGTTTTCTAACTCGTGAACAGGCAACGTATAACTGCCCATATGAAAAAGAATGATTTTCTAAATAATCAATTTGAAATTTATCCCGCAAACACTAAGCGATTGGCCTTGCGCCTTGTTATTGCGAACGCAAGGCGAACTGGAAAATTCAATCCTTTGAGGTCAAACGGAAGACCAGTCGGAATCATTGGTATGTCACCAAATCGCCAGCAATTTTTGATTGAATGGTGAAATTCAGTGCGTGTACATCATTATTCTTTGCGGCAAAAATTGCTCGTTGACTTAACCAAGCATAATTCTGATAATTTTCACTTATGTCATTACTCGAATTTTTAATTACGGTGCGTGAAGTTCCAGCAATTTGCATTGAGGCACCATGCTATGCACCACTGCAATTTTCTTAGCTATAAACCTTGCGGAGCCCGAGACCTTTCCAACGAATGCAAAATTGTCGAAATCGGTTCGTGCATTCTGGAGTTATATCGTCAGGAAGGAAAACTCGACTTATTTTTATATATATGTAGATTATGTTTTTCAAATTTTCTTAACAATCACATTAAATGAATTATATGATATTTTTATCAAATTGGCAAGATATCCTTATCCTCTGAATATTTTTCTGTTATACCTACATTTCCGTGCTCTATTTTTTGCGAATAAAAAATATTTATATATTTCTTTATTGAAACAAAGCTCGTGTCTGTTATAAGTTACCTTCATTTTTTTGAAAAATATAACTAACTGTTCGGCTAAGCATAGACCCTATTTTCAATAGAACGAACGTGTCCGAATAAAAAATGTCCTGAGTTATCTTTTGCACTGCACTAGTTTCATCTAATTTATTGAGCTATTGTACGGCGATTTTACTAACTTTTGATAAGCTAAAACTTTACGTACCAAAAATAACTGAAAATTAAATTTTTTGAAAAAAAGATGTTTGAGAATTGTCATTTTTTTTAAAAAAAATTACTTATTAAAGCAATCGCTCAGCGTAGCTGTTTCAGAGACGAAATATCGAAGCGCGTAAGCATCGCGTCGCAATCTAACGGATAAACATAGGTACGGATCCCATATAAATGTAAACAACATTTGCACTTATTATTAAGATCTCTATAAAATATATGATAATTTGATGTGCATATATATCATCATTTTCGACCGGCAAAAGACTTTTTTAATTTCTTAATTAAATCTCCGAAACCACTGGACCTGCCTTCCCAAAAATTTAATCAGTTCTTCATTTCGTCAATACAAATTAAAAGCTTCTTCAATCATTCAAATTGGACACTCCATTTTTTCAAAAACTGAATTGTCATTTTTGCAAATTTTGCACCGTATCTTCGAAACGGCAGGACCTGCCTTTGTCAAAAATTAATCCAACCGTCATCGATACGAATTAAAAGCTTTTTGAATTATTTAAATCAGTCAATCCGTCAATCAGTGTTTCCGAAACTGTCGACGACATACACACATCAATTTTTTCTAAGATATGCCAAAATGTTCAGGAACCTTAAGAGTACAGATATATACAAATTTTCATTTTCTATTTTTTCGACTTACACCACGGGAAGTCAATACAGTTTGTTTTTCATAGATTTCACTATATTTCTTATTTTAACCCTTGCTTTAAATGTAATATATGATGGTCTCAATTCTCAATCCGTTTTATAGAAGTATTTAAGTATTTGGACTTAAGCGCAAAAAGCGGTTTTGTTAATATACATAAAGTTTGAGAAATACTCGTATATGAGAAAAGTGCAGATACATTACAATATTAATTAGTGGGGCGCATGACATCGTGCCTTAATGCAAATTGCTGAAACTTCCTGTACAAGAAATTATTATTTTTTTAAAAACGATTAACATTTTTGAAAAACAATTACTTCGAAAAAATTAGATTTTTGAGAAACTATAAATTTGATAAAAAAAATTATTGGAAAAATATGTTTTCTTTATTTTGACATATTTTGGAAATTCTGAACTTTTTTTCAAAGCAATCGTACTGCTTTAACTACATAGAGACGAAATGTAAAAGCGCGTAAGCGCCGCGCCGCCGTCTAACGGTTAAACGTTGGTACGAAACCCATAGGAATATAAACAAAATTTATACTTATTGTTAAAATCTCTATAAAATATCTAGTAATTTGACGTGCATATGTCTAATGATCATTTTTGACCGCCAAATGGCATTTTTTTTACTTTTTTTATTTGATCTCCGAAACCGCTAGACCTGCCTTCATGAAAATTTGATCAATTCTTCATCTTGTCAATACAAGTCAAATGTTTTTTAAATTATTAAAATCGGACACTCCGTTCTCTTAAAAACTGAGTTACCGTTTTCGGCACTTTTTGCCCCGTATCTTTGGAACGGCTGGACCTGCCTTCGCCAAAAACTAATCAGCACGTCTCCTTATCAATACGAATCGAATGTTTTTTGAATTATTCAAATCGGTTGATCCGTGTTCCCGAAATCGTCGACGAAAATTTGTATCCGCACATACATACACACACGTACATACATACATACATACACACACACACACACATACACACACACACACATACATCCATTTTTTCTAAGGTATGCCAAAATGTTAAAAAACCTTTGAAACGTAAAGATATATAAAAATTTTCATTTTCGATTTTTTTGCGATTACAATAACTTACCCTACGGGAAGTTAATAAAAATATTAAAACAAATATCATTCCATCCGTCCAACTGTCTGTTCAATCAGATATTGTATTGAACCGAATATCAAATAGCAATCGCAATCGTTGGATTGCAGACAATAAATATAGTCGAATCCAACTAATCGAATAATCGAATAATGGTCCGTTTTATTAATCATTTGAAGTAACGTGCGCACGTTGTTTACCTTTGTTTATTTCCACATTTGTCATTTTTCCGGGGGAATTGTAAGGGTTCCGTGGGGGGTTTATAGCGCGGTTCCGTGCGGTTCCGCCGGTTCGTCGCCGCCACCGCCGCCGCTGCCGCCGCCGCCGCCGCCGCCGCCGCTCTGGTTGTCAGCGTTGCGCAGGCGCTATGTCAGGTAGATAATCTAGATAAAGTCGAGCGGTGTGCCGTCGCCGCAGCTATCGCCGTCCCTTTCTTTCCGTCCAGGTGTGCTCGTGTTCGAGGACGGCGCGATCCGCCGACGCAACGTCCACCTCGCTTCCTCTCTGTCCCTCTAACGCCTGTGCCGGGGAGCAGACAGAGAGGAATTTGCCGTTTACAGAGCCGTGCACTGTGCACTTGTCGGCCGAACGATCGCTCGGCAGTCGTCTCGCTCTAACAATCGGGTCGCGCTCGGTCGAGCATGACTGCTAGCGTAGTGAACGCCAGCATCGTTTCAGAGTTCCACGATCCTCAGTTCGATCCTATTACCGTGAGGTGCTCTTCTGTAAGTTCGTACGGTGTGTGACACTTATCGTAAAGGCGCCGATCGTTCTTTCAACATTGTTATTTTGTGTTCAACCCCCCTTTCGAATCACATACGCCCAAATTGTTGCCCCAAAACATACCGTTTGTAAAATGCTGGTGCGATCCTAACCTAACGAATAGTTACAAAACCTAGTGTTTTTACATAAATAAGTGTGCACACTTATTCAAATTCATTTGATTCTAATTGGAAATGAACTGACAAAACGAACCCTCTCAAAGGGGACACACTCAAAGGAATTAATAATCGTTATTGTTAATTGAATTTTCTACCTTCCGGTTCGGTTTGAAAATATCGTTAAGATCGTTACATCGATTTTAATCGATATTTTTGACCGCAAATATACTACAGTGGATACAAACGCGCATTTGGTAACGTCAAAGAGACGCATATACGAAGGACAGGTGCATAATATCTGTTCACCGAGCAAAAAATTCCGTTGTCGGTTGGATAAAACCTCTTCTAATTCGAATCCTAAGGAAAAGGTGATGGAGACCCAGCTAGCACTGCCTGGGCTTAGCCAGAGCATGGATTCAGTAAACACGGCCACCGGTGAAGAAGAGGTACATTTTTCATTTTTTCAAATTCATATTAACTTCCCGTAGGGCAAGTTATAGTAATCGCAAAAAAATCGAAAATGAAAATTTTTGCATTTCTCGACATTTTAAAGGTTTCTGAATATTTTGGCATACCTTAGAAAAAATGGATGTATGTGTGTGTGTGTGTATGTGCGTGTGTGTATGTATGTGCGGATACAAATTTTCGTCAACGATTTCGGGAACACCGATCAACCGATTTGAATAATTCAAAGAACATTCGATTCGTATTGATAAGGAGACGTGCTGATTAGTTTTTGGCAAAGGCAGGTCTAGCCATTCCGGCACATTTTGCCAGGGGCAAAAAGTGCCGAAAACGGTAACTCAGTTTTTAAGAGAACGGAGCGTCCGATTTTAATATTTCAAACAACATTTTACTTGTATTGACAAGGTGAAGAATTGATCAAATTTTCATGAAGGTAGGTCCAGCGGTTTCGGAGATCTAGTGAAAAAAGTAAAAAAAATGCAATTTGGCGGTCAAAAATGATTATTAGACATGCACATCATATTATCAGATATTTTATAGAGATTTTAACAATAAGTATGAATTTTGTTTACATAAGTTTGTTTTGTTTACGCGTTAGACGGCGACGCGGCGCTTACGCGCTTTGATATTTTGTCTTTATGCTGTTAAAGCAGTACGATTGCTTTGAAAAAAAGTTTAGATCATCCAAAATATGTCAAAATAAAGAAAACATTTTTTTTAAAAAAAGAAAAAAAAATTATTTTTTTTTTATTTTTTTTCAAAAAAAAGTAATTTTTTGTCCAATTTATAGTTTCTCAAAAATCTTATTTTGTCGAAGTAAAATTATTTCAAAAATGTTAATCGTTTGTAAAAAAAATAATAATTTTTGGTACGGGAAGTTCCAGCAATTTGCCTTAAGGCACGATGCCTTAATTGCCTTAAGGCAGAATTCCACTTACAGCTAGTTTAGGCTAATTTGCAATGTCATATCCATATCACAACAAAACACTATTGCGCCAGTTCGCAGCGGAGTCGTCCTCGCGCTGCGGACCACACATGCATGCAACGCTTCTAGCATTATATAGTACATACTACATACCTAGTACCTACATATAGCAAACGATATTGCGGCACGAAATAAGTAATAACCTACGAAATTGGCCTCAAAGCTCAGGCCTTATACATGAACCGTCGAACATTTTCAAGAATTCACTGCAAACGATTTTTAGAATATGGTTCACCATCGAATAAACAATAAAGCGCATGGTGTGCTCATATTTCCATTTATATATATATATATATATATATATATATATATATATATATATATATATATACCTATCCCTCGTTTTCCACGGATGATAGATTCCATAAAATACGTGTAACTCAAAAAGTTCACTCTTATTACGAAAATCACTATAAAAAGCCCTTTAAGTCAGTTTTTAAATGATGAATAATAAACACATAGAACGAAAAATAAATATTGATGTAATATCAAACACATTTAATAAAATAAAAATTGGCAATATATATTATTCTTTTATTCTTATGGAGACATTTCAAAATTAAAATTTTGGTTTGTAAAGAAATGAAAATGGTCATTTTTTTGGCTATCGATTTGCATCAATTGGCAATTAAACCTATTATATAATTTGTAACGCATAACTTTTCTTTTACTCTCTAGTTTATGATTATATATATATATATATATATATATATATATATATATATATATATATTTAGCCCCCGTTTTCCACGGATGATAGATTCCATAAAAACCGTGAAACTCAAAAAGTTCACTCTTATATGGAAAAACCACCATAAAAAGCCCTTCATGTCAGTTTTTAAATGATGAATAATAAACGCATAGAACGAAAAATAAATATTGATATAATTAATATTAAACACATTTAATAAATTGTAGCTTCATCCAATAAAAATTGGCAATATCTATTATTCTTTCATTCTTATGGAGACATTTCAAAATTTCAATTTTGGTTTGTAAAGAAATGAAAATGGTCATTTTTTTGGCTATCGATTTGCATCAATTGGCAATCAACCTATTATATTATTTGTAAGGTATAACTTTTCTTTTACTCTTCAGTTTATTTTCAGCTTTTGCCGTTGTCGAACTGTATATTTTTTTAAATTATTTATTTTGTAAAAAATAATTTTGTTACTTGCTCATCTTGAACAAATTCACGCTATCAATTAAAAACAAAGTTTAAAAACAAACTAGCTTATCCACACATAAAATTTAGTTTTGATCATAATACGGGGAATTCCCATCTTACCTACATCATGCACATGGACTACTAAGAATTGGTAACTATAGCATACATTTTCAGCGTTGTAATTTGACAGTAAAACAATGAAAAATGTTATTGTTAATTATAGGTTAGTGTTTATAATTTCGTGTAAATGCAAAGTTAATACATTTTGTTAAAAAATATTTTCGTAAAGATCGAAAAATTGTAAACCCGGGGGGATAGGTGTATTATAATTATTATCTATTATCTATGTGTAAGTCTGCATCATCTCGGACTATAACTACCTTGAACCGTACTAATTCTCGTATAATACGAATGAAATTGAGTAATAGACGGTTTCAACATACAACGAATCAGCACTATTTTATATATCTCTATATGTATGTATATTCGTATTTCCGTATCATAATTACGGACCGTTTTCCCGTTGTTCTCAGCCTCTACGAAATCTCATTTATGATAATGTCAAAAACATATGTTTGTCCGTAGCATATGCTCTTTGTGTGTGTGTGTAACAACACATAGAAAAAACTGCTAAAGGAAAAGAAAGTATCGATAGATAAGTATCATGTCTTGCTTGAGGTTCTAATAAACAAATAACTGCATTATATTTTTTGCATTATTATCGTATGAACAATATCACTATATTTGCATCTAATATTGAAAATAACACGAAGCGCAACGGTCTTGATAAAATAAGGCAAATATGAGGAAGACTCGCACACTGAGTGTTATAGAAGGAAATTCATATTTTAAACTTTCCGTAGGGTAAGTTATTGTAATCGTCAAAAAATCGAAATTGAAAATTTTTGCCTTTCTCGACGTTTTGGAGGTTTCTGAACATTTTGGCATACCTCAGAAAAAATGGATGTGTGTGTGTGTGTGTTTCGTATGCCCGCATTTTTTCTTCCACGTTTTCGGGCGCATGGATCAACCGATTTGAATGGTTCAAACAACATTCGTTTCCTATTGACAGGGAGATGTGCTAATTAGTTTTTGGCAATGGCAGGTCCAGCAGTTACGGAGATAAAGAGCAAAGAGTGCAGAAAATAGAAATCGAGTTTTTGAGAAAACGGAGCATCCGATTTGAATGCTCTAAAAAACATTTAATTAGTAATGATTGGGAGAAGAGGTTATTAGTTTTTGGCAAAGGCCGGCCCAGCCATTTCGAAGATACAGAGCTAAATGTACAAAAAATGGCAGTTTTTGAGAGAATTAAGCGTCCTATTTGAATTATTTAAAAAAGAATTTTCTGCTTGTTTTAACAAAATAATTGATTTTAGAAATAATTTTTTTTTTCAATTTTTATTTTCAATTTTTATTTAAAAAAATTTTTTTTTTGTATATCGAAAATAATTCAGATTTTATTTTTAATTCTGACTAAAGTTCTAATATACTTCAAACAAATAATTTCAGCTTTGCAATTCATTCTTATAAATATTAGACAATGTTGAAATATTTATAATAATCTATTTGAAAATCTTCAATATTCCTCGAACATTTCTTTACGATACGGGAAGTACCAGCAATTTGCCTTAAGGCACGATGCCATACACCCCACTAGTTTTTATTTATTCCGGATGCCATAAAAAAATATATCGGTATATATTCACTAACTAGTGGTGCATGGCAACGTGCCTTAAGGCTAGAACTTACCGTAATTAAATATTTTTAAAAGATTAAGTCTCTTAAAGTCTTTGAAGAAAAAAGAGTTTTGTCATTTTTTGAATTTTTTGAAAAATTTGACTTTTACAAAAAAATTGAGTGTTTTTAAACTTTTTGAAAATTTTGAATTTTCTTGATAATTTTGAAACCCATTCAAATCTGTTTGATTCATCAAAAAGTCGAGGACAATTGCTTGAACTGTATAACTGAACTCTAAGCATTATAAATGTTGGTATGGAAGTCATAGAAATCGAAACATTTGTGCTTTTTATTAATATCTGATAATTTGATGTGCACGTGTCTGATGATTATTTTTGACCGCCAAATAGCATTTTTTTTAAACTTTTTTTGGATCTCCAAAACCGAACCTGCCGTCTTCCGAAAAAGTTTATCAATTCTTTATTTTATCAATACAAGTAAAATATTTTTTGAATCACTCAAATCGGACGTTTGCTGGACCTGCCTTCCCAAAAATTTAATCAATTCTTCATTCTGTCAATTCATGTGAAATGTTTTTTGAATCACTCAAATCGGACGCTCCGTTCTCTCAAAAACTGAATTACAATGTTTTACACTTTTTGTCCCATATCTTCGAAACGGCTGGACCTACCTTTGCCAAAAACAGCACGTCCAATCAAAAATCGAATGTTTTTTAAATCATTCAAATATATTGTTTCTGTTCTCGCAATCGTTGACTAAAATTTGTATCCGCGCATACATACATACATTCATACATTCATTCACACACACATACATCCATTTTTGCTAAAGTATGCAAAAATGTTTAGAAACTTTTGAAACGTAAAGGTATGCAAAAAATTTCATTTTGATTTTTTTGCGACGATTGCTATAACTAACTTTTCGGAAAGATAAATGTGATTTTTAACATATAAGTTTTTAGTGTTTTAAACAAGAGTACATCAAAGAATACTGTCAAGAATATTTTGAATTTGATAATAAATTTATACATGTATTGCAGATTAAAACATTGATTTTAATATTTCCTGTATTCAAAACATTTTGAAGAATAACTTTTGAGTTTATTTTTTATTACATCTACTGAATCC